GTGTAGTCTGGTCGATGTTAACCAACGTTTCAGAGGTCATACTGCCTCCATCATCAGGGCGATGACGGAGGCAGTATGACATCTGAAACATTGGTTAACATCGACCAAACTACACAGCGCAACAACCCAGCAGACAGAAATCTTTATAACGTCTGGTTGGTGAATCTTCTTCCATTTATAAAAAGTAACATGTTTTCCAGGAGCTATGCATTTGTATGCATCCTTTACACGAAGTGCATAAGATGAGGAATTTTTGTTTGCGGTTTGTCCATCCGCCCACGTGTTCAGCCTCCAAAATTACTCAACAGATTTTAATTAATTTTGATATTGGGTGTGTAGTGTATTAAAAATTTACAATACAAATTTCATTTTGGTCTGAATCATTTCAGTGTAACCACTTCTTTACATGAAACTTGAGTTAAACCTACCATTGGACCCTGTCCTGAGCCAGTTAACTCCAATCCACAATTTCACACCATATTTCTCCAAGATTAGTTTTAAAATTATCCTCCCATTTAAGCCTAGGTCTCCAAGTGATGGCTTCCCTGAAGTTTTATGATCAAAATTTCCCCCATGTGTGCAACACATCTTAGCCATCTCAAGCTCATTAATTTAATCACCCTAACAATATTATATGAAGAGCATTATATAATTTTCTCCAGTTTTTCTCTACTTTACTTAGGTCCAAATGTTCTCCTTACTTCTTTATATATGATAAACTTTGGTTATGTATGGATGCTTAGGAAAAATTTTGAATGTCTTTATGAGTCCGAGGTTTCAACCCATTGGAATAATGTTGATAGTAAAACTACTGTTGGCTTCTAGTCTGACCTGGGAGAAGGAGGAGTGTCTGCTTATCTGGAAGAAAACAAGGTGCCAATTCCATTCCTCATTATGCTGATCCTGCAGTTTGCACTGATTGTGGTGGACCGCGCATTGTACTTGCGCAAATACATTCTCGGGAAGATCGTGTTCCAGTTCTTGCTCGTAGTTGGAGTCCACATATGGATGTTCTTCATTCTGCCTCTAGTCACTGACAAGTAAGTTTATTTTATAACCAGAAACTTCAAAGAATATACAATCCTAAATTAATGTAAGGAAATAACTAAGTATAGAAGAAAGTGACAGATTTATTAAAACGAAACAAATATAATTGTATGTGCAACATATTGAAAGCAAACTTATGGAATACACTTATATATGAATCTTATATTTGGTTAACTTTTGTCTGCACAGAAAGTGATACGAGGTGCGATCGAAAGGTTTCCAGACTGCGCGTATAAAAACCTGTACACTTATCTCAGGTATTAAATTCATCCATCTCCCTCGAAGTAGTTCCCCTGGGAGTGAACACAACGATTCCAGCGCCGCTGCCAAGCCTGGAAGCATCCCTGGAAATCTTTCTTTGTCAGCCTGTCAAGCACCATCTGCGATTCTGGCTGAATCTCTTCTGTCGTCTCAAATCTCCTTCCGTTTAGCTGAATTTTCATCTTTGGGAAGAGGAAGAAGTCACACGGAGCTTAGAAAAGAAGTTGGGGTCAGTTCTTGCAAGATCTTTGAGCTCCTGACAAACGAGAAGTCGATTCTGCTTCTGGTCCTCAGACAGGATGCGTCGCATGTGGAGTTCTTCCTTTAGAATCAGCTGACAGGTCCCATAACCTATCCCAACAATGTCGCACAAGTCGTTGATGGTATGACGTCGATCTTCGTGAATGGCCTGCCGAATCTTCGTAACATTTTCGGGCGTTGTGCTCAAAGATGGTCGTCCAGAACGCTCGTCATCATCGACAGAGGTTCTGCCATTTTTAAAACGTGAATGCCACACAAAAGTTTGTGCACGACCCATTGCGGACTCCCAAATGCTTGCTTTAGCGTTTCATAGGTTTCCGTAGCCGTTTTGGCGAGTCTTTGGCAAAATTTGATGTACACGCCATTCCGAAATAGCAGGAGGGTCGGTGTAAAGCACTACCAAAACGCCCGTAACTAAGAAACAAATGCTAATTCAATGATGCCGGCTGGCACACTGATTCACTATGAATGTAGGCCGCACCCCCTAACGGCAGAAGCTCGTACTACATCCGGTTCGCCCTCTATTGACACAGTCTGTAAACTTTCCGATCACACCTCGTATATGTACACATCAGAACATTTATATAAGGTGTTCTATCTTATTTCTCTCATAATGTTAGTAATGTAGCAGAAACAGGAAATACAGACCAGAATAGAACCAGAAACATCACCTTAACCTCATGGCTGCTTGAGAGAGAGTCCTTGTCCCAACTTTTTCAGTCCAAAGAACAACCCAAGACCCCCTCCAATCCTGCCCATTTTTCTCCACACACATACATGCCTGTTATTGATCAGAAATGAAAGGAAAATATGCCACTTAAAGAACCCACTAGTTCCATAGGCCCTCACCCAGTCAGAGGTTGCCATCATAGACATCCCTCAACAGAAGAGCGAAATGCATCAATTCAGCGTGATAACCCATCTTTCTTTTATTTTGAATCTTAATATTAGTAAACTCCCAGACAATAATGGATGATTGATTTACATATCATCCAAAATTTTGTACCCATTTGTGATGTTTTTTTTATTGAGTAGGCACTGTATAAGTGCAGAATGGCATTTAGTTCCAATCAGGGATTGAGAGTACTTAGGTGCTGGTGTGTAGTATGTAGTGAAGTTGGAAAACATGATTTCCATGATCTACCAGAGCATGGAATTATCTTGCACAAGGATCAGAGTCCTTGTGTTCAGGTGGTGAAAGGTTATTGTTTTTTGTTCAAAAGGTGAAGAAATTTCAGGATCAGTTGAAATCTGTCGCAAGAAAACACCAGAGAGTGTATAGTGAATTTCTAATCCAGTATGAGAAAATTGTGAGTCTTCAGATTATCCCCATTTCCAAAAGAATAGCAACAAAAGGCTTTATTTCATTTATGCTTATTGGCTGTCACAGCTATCCTCTTGCACTAGGTGATAATTGATATGATCTCAGAAAGTGAATTGCATTTCTATTAGTTTCTGCCAAGGTCAGGCTCTGCAGTTGCAGAGTAGAAAACAAACGAATTATAAGAAATATAAGAGGGGGGTGAGTATGTCAGAAGCAAGATGTTTCAAGAAATGCTGAAAAGGGTTGATGAACAATAACATTGATAATGATTATTTCCATAACTGTGATTGTTATCAATTGCATCAGTATCTGGATCATTTTCATGTATTGTTCACTGTCACTAACATGTGGTCTGTTTCTTCTACTAACATATGACTACCATCACTATTAGAATGAGAAACACATGATGTTAGTGTCATTTCTAGTGCCTGTTCACCATCTGATTCATTTTCACTAGTAATTGCATTCACAAAATCTGCCAATTCGTCATCTTTCATGTGTTCTTTCCTCTGGTAGATTCCATATTGCCAGATGCATTGCCTTCTTTGAGTTGCAACTTTATGAATTTATCACTGTCAGTACTTTGGGCCCAACTAGCAGACAACCGCATATCATGGTCTGGCACTAGGAGGGTAATACAAGTTATATTTTATATTTGTCCCTCATTTCAAATGCATATCAGCTGAGTGTAATGAATCAAACTATTTTACTAATGCTGGCGGCTTCATTGCAGGCAATTCAATGCAGAGCTTCCACCGCAGATGTGGTACATGGTCAAGTGCTTCTATCTGCTCCTTTCAGCATATCAGATAAGAAGTGGTTACCCCACTCGCATTCTTGGAAATGTTCTATGTAAACGGTACAATATTCTAAACATGGTCATGTTTAAAGGGTAAGTAGTTATTGTAACCTAAGGAAGTTACATGAACTTAATTTATTTTCTTTAACCATTCTTTATGTCTGTCCCCATCATATTATTATGATATGATGTTAAATCTTTATAGCCAATGAAGGAACTGAAAATATGGTATAGGTCTATAGCCTTCTTACTAATTATATTTAGATTGAATCACAGGTTTTAAACTTTTTAATACTGTACATTTTGTGATACAGTGAAACCTCGATGCATCGTTTTTGGCGGGGGTGGGAAATAAAAATGATGAATACAGGAAAACGATAGTTGCGGGAACGCATTAAAATTTTTAAAAAACTGTATGTTTCTCTTTCAAAGTTACTTCTTTTTACCAAAAAAGTCTTTAATGGACAACTGGTTTGTCGAAACTTTACGTTTTAGGCCAAACAGAGCCCTTTCCACTTTCAAAGTGTTTTCCTCATCACATTCATTAATATTATGCGCATAAAAGAACGACTTCACTTTTACCAATGCTTCGGCAAAACTCGGCACAGAAATACTATTACATTAACATTATGCGTCTTTCGGTATTAATTTATCTCAAAACCCAGCATTTTAAATTCTAAAAACATCGCGTAAATTTCGTTCTAATTTCTCAGAAACAATCATTGCGGGAAAGTTGTGGGCCGGGACTAAGATTTTTGAACGATCGATGCGATAAAACGATAGTTCGAGGAACGATAGAAGCGGGAAAATGTAACATTATTTTATATGCGATGTATCCGGGACCGAACAAAATGTATGATGCATCCGGGAAAACGATAGTTCGGGGAACGATGGATAGAGGTTTCACTGTATATGTACTAAAAAAATTGGAAGAAAATATTATTTGCACTCTGAAGAAGTTTTAGTATCTGCTTCATTATCATCCTTCCAAATAGACCAATTTGACATATCATGATATTAAGGAGCAAATATTTTTTTTAGAACAACTTCTTCCTCTGTGTCAGTATTCTACAATTTTGTGTTGCATGAGGGCAAGGATTCTGAAAGGCTGGTTTTTTCAGACTTCTGTTGTATTGTTATACAAAACCTGTTATTGGTGAAGTTCATAAATTACATTTCAGCTGTTCTTGTTTTTATCTTCTTATAGGCCATGATTTACTACCGTGTGTTAATGTCTGCCAGATAAATGTTTTATAGATATAAACTCTTGTTTATCTTGAAACTATTAATGGTTTGAAAATCCATTCTCTGTTTAAAATTTATTATATGTATCAGGATAACTCAGTCAGTTACAGTGACTTTTTGTGGGTTTTATGGATGGGATTTGCTTACCAAAAGGACAGAGTTTCTTCTCTTTGCTATCATTTCCAGGCCAGCTATTGTGTTCGTCCAGTCTCCTGTCTGATGCATGTGGGAGTGCTCTTTCACTGGTGAAAAAGAGGCCATAGCATGAAGCTGGCCACTTACATCTTTTTAGTACTGATATTAATATATAATACTATACCCCCACTCCTTCAGACAACTTTCTGATATTGTACTTTTTATTAATGCTGTTATAGATTAATACATATTAATTTCCAGTATACAAATATATGGTTATCCTGTGATTAAAGTCATGTCAACTAGTGGCCATGACATTAATTTAGTGACACGTTCAAACATTACAGTGAGTGTACTTGGTTTTTAACTTGATATTTGACAGGCCTGTCGAGTGAGACAAGCATTGTTATTACAGGTTCATGGCTGTACCATTCTTATTCGAGCTGCGTGCACTTATGGATTGGATGTGGACTGACACATCAATGACAGTTTCGGACTGGCTGAAGATGGAGGACATCTTTGCAAACATATTTCAGCTCAAGTGTTCAAGACGTATGGAAACTGAGTATCCACAACCTCGTGGAGAGAAGAAAAAACCTTTAATCAAGTACCTGTTGGGTGGTGCTGGCCTTTTTGTTATCATTGCTGTCATCTGGTTCCCATTAGTTATATTTGCGCTTGGCAGCACTGTTGGTCAACCAAACCTGCCTTATGATGTCACAGTTACAATGGATATTGGTAACTATCAGCCTATCTATAAAATGTCAGCACAGAATAACACTGTCAACACTATTGACAGGTAAGTGGGAGACAGCTAGTTTGTGATTTATATTTGTGATTCAGCCCTAGAAACGGTAGTATGTACAGTGAAACCTCGATGCATCATTTTTGGTGGGGGTGGGAAATAAAAACAATGAATGCGGGAAAGCATTTAAAATTTAAAAAAAACTTTGTTTCTCTTTCAAAGTTACTTCTTTTTACCAAAAAAGTCTTTAATGTACAACTGGTTTGTCAAAACTTATGTTTTAAGCCAAACAGAGCCCTTTCCACGTTAAAAATGTTTTCCTCGTCACGTTCACTAATATTATGCACTTCACTTTTGCCAATGCAGCATGTGCTTCAGCAAAACTCGGCACAGCTTCCTCACGACTCCCACCCCCTTCACGAACAATAACAGGAAGAATGGAAATACAGTGAAACCTCGATGCATCATTTTTGGCGGGGGTGGGAAATAAAAACGATGAATACGGGAAAACGATAGTTGCGGGAAAGCATTAAAAATTTTAAGAAACTGAATGTTTCTCTTTCAAAGTTACTTCTTCTTACCAAAAAAGTCTTTAATGGACAACTGGTTTGTCGAAACTTTACGTTTTAGGCCAAACAGAGCCCTTTCCACGTTCAAAATGTTTCCTCGTCACGTTCACTGATATTACTCGCCTAAAAGAACGACTTCACTTTTGCCAGCACGTTCTTCGGCAAAACTCGGCACAGCTTCGGGCTCGCATTTGTCGTCTTCCTCTTCCTCACGACTCCCACCCCCTTCACGAACAATAACAGGAAGAATGGAAATACAGTGAAACCTCGATGCATCATTTTTGGCGGGGGTGGGAAATAAAAAAACTATCACCCCTGCACCGCTGACCCTCATTCCAAAAGAATGTGCTGGTTGGGCGACATAACAGGTTACCGCTACTGTTTATTCCAAAAACATTGTGCGTCTTTCGGTATTAATTTATCTCAAAACCCAGCATTTTAATTTCTCAGAAACGATCATTGCGGGAAAATTGTGGGACGGGACTAAGATTTTTGAACGATCGATGCGATAAAACGATAGTTCGAGGAACGATAGAAGCGGGAAAATGTAACATTATTTTATATGGGATGTATCCGGGACCGAACAAAACGGACGATGCATCCGGGAAAACGATAGTTTGGGGAACGATGGATAGAGGTTTCACTGTAGTAAAATTACATGAATTGGCAGTTGCCCAATCCTCAGCTGCATTTGTTACTCAGATTGACATAGGAATGACATTAAATCAAATGTCAGCAGTATTGCAACAAAACAACACAAATTTGAATGACATATTTAGATTATTTGCATTTACTGGGACATGATGATCTCTTATTCTGTTCTTATCACATCTATATCATATGTTTCTTTTTTCTGGTATTGAACCGTATTTCTCTGATGAAGATAGAATACCATGCATCTTCCATGGTTTGGATCTGATATTAAATTTTGTATTCACAGAACCAGTTGCAATTCTCACCAGTTAACTTATTTTTTATTATAATGGTATTGTATAAGACACTATGTTTTTTGTTTTATTTCAGAATGAGTGAACAGTCTTGGAATAAAATGCAGAATGCGTACTTAAAAAATAAAGCTGCTTTAACTTTCTTGTCCAACTATGATCACACAGACATTGCTGTGATTAGAATGAGTAATTCTTCAAGTATGGTATGGAGTATCTCTCAGCCAGACAGAGACTACCTCATTGCAGATCTCCAATCCAGTAAGTAATGTGGGGCCAAGTACCTTACCAAATAAGTTAGTTAACGATTAATGCCCCCAGTGTCCATATATAACATGTGCTGGTCTCCTATCATTTTTGATTAGTTGACAACCCTTGACACTCTCATTTTTCCTCTTTGGATGGATTCTGTACCTGGAACTCTACCATTTTCTAATAAAAGTTTCTTACTTTATTTGTGGAGCTTAAGTCCACATTTGCTGTTATATGTCCTTTCTGCTATACAGCTCATGGTGAACTCTTTTACTGATCACCTGCAACTAGTCGTGTTTACTAGCAGCATCATGAAAAGGTTTCATTTGAACAACCTCCAGAGTTTCAAGAGTATACTGAATTTAGTTAATGTTGTATAATATTTCTCATAAAATTGAGTCATAGGCTTTCTTGAAGTATGTAAATAATCAATATACTAACACATATAATTATAAGGAATTAACTTTTCTGCCCTTCCAGGCAAACAGATTGCGATAAGGTTCATGTGGCATGTGTCACGATTGAACCCTAATCCAAAGACTACAGGGGAGGCTAGAGACTACCATGTTTATGAACTGGAGGCTGAGGTGGATGGTAAACCGAGCCCACAAAGAGATAATCTCATTAAGATGTTGAATGGGACACATGTTACAGCATTGATTCCTAATATTTTCCCAAAATTCCTGAAGATTTCAAATCGTGGAATGGCTACTCCAGTTACACAACTCATGGAACGAATTGGTAAGCCATGGCTTTATTTACATACCCTATAAGAAATGATTTTGTAACTAAAAATTGCTGCATTGCATTGTGACAACTTTAATGCAAATGGACATTAATATGAAGTGTTCTGTGTGAAGCCAAAGAATGAACCTGTCTTTGATGAAGTACACTACTCTTACTGGAAATGTACTCTGAGTTCACTTGTCTCAGTAGTTTTCATTATTATTGAACACAATAACATCTTCTTTCCCAGCATTACTTAAGTGTTTAGTACTTAGTTGTTTATTATATGTACAGCTTGTTAATTTAATTTCCTGCTATTTTGTATCTTTATCCCTTTCATCAGTTGGCTAAATAGACTTACCATTTTATTTTGTTGGGGTCCACGTGCATTTTCTTAGAAGGATATAAGGACAAAAGAGGGAATGAAAGCATACAGATGGGACTAGTTGGTTAAGTATGGTAGAGCACCGATTATCAATGGTAATTGGGAGTAGCAGGGCCTGGAAACTTGAAAAACACAGTCAATGCAAATTGTATATTATTAGAATTATCATCATTCATGCAAGCAAAATAGGAACTTAAATATTTGTACATAGAAACATACATATCCATATTGAAAAACATATAAAAATACTAAGCATTCTTTCTTAAAGTAATTTTATCAGAAAGTCTGTAATTTTTATATGATTTTTCTGTTGGCCTATTTTGGCTCTTATTTTATGTACCCACAAATTTGTGAATTGATGTCATCTTGATTTTTCATTGAGTAAAGTAATGTCTCAACAGCTGTGAAGGCTTCTTTGCAACTTTCTTCACAAAATCAGAATTTGAGACCACGGTTAATCCACTCCACAGATAATTTGGCCTCAGATAATCAGCATTATACTGTGTTTATTTTTCTGTCACTGTTTTTATGCTGTCTCCTTTGTCATGTTTGTTTATCTTATTACAGCTTCTCCTCTTGACACTACATTTAGAAACCTTAGCCTACAGTATAGTGGAGATAATGGATCTGACAGCCAGAGTTGGTGGTCCCTCAAAGAAACATGTGATGATAAGAATTATGAAAATTTTTTGAAGGAAATAGATGATGATCACTGTAACAAACTGGTTATATACACATTTAATGATAAATCCTTCCCCAAAACTCTGAGCTTCATTTCTGGAGAAGGGTAAGTTGCATTTATTAATCTATGCTTTCCAAGTTTTTTCAGTTGTCTTAAATATAGTACATTCAATCCAGCTTAAAAATTGAAACTGTTCATTCTGATATTTGAAGTAGAATTTGTTCATCACCACCCAGAAACTATAATTAAGTTTTTAATATATCCATCTGTACAGCTTGTTTTCTTTCTTTCTTCTTTCCTTCCTTCCCACACACACACAACAGTACTACATGTTTTGGTCTTCATGTGGCATGGAAGGGTTTTATTGAACTATGTGCAGCTTCAACACTAGCAGATCATAAGTTGCACACATTTCTGTAAAGCCTTTAAATGTCACCTGAAGATGGCCTGTGTTAGACCGAAAATTGTAATAGTAGTGTGAGGAAGAACAAGATACCAAATAAAGCTGATATTATTTATATTTTTAATTTATTATTGTTATTCGGGTAAGGAAGCCAAGACTCTAAGAGTTGTAGCACTATTGATGATGATGATTGTTATTCATTTAGTGTTCAAAAGATATAATTGTATTTCTTCTTTTCTCCTTATTCTTCTTCCTTGAGTTGTGTCAATTTTACATGGATCACCTCCTTTCATAATGTAGGATTGTGTACTTTATTTCCAGTTTTATCATGAGTTGTGGTGGTTGACTTGGCTATCAGCTCAAGGCCTGCTGCTTTCCAGATGATTATGCCATTTATTATTGGTAGCAATGATTTTTCCCCTTTTTTTCATCATACATTTCTGTTATATATGAACTATCTGAACTGTAGGAATAAATTATGTCTCGCAATTAAAAAGTAACTGAACTTCAAATGTTGTTCATAATAAAGCATTTAACCATTCTTCTAATTTAGTAGTACAGCCAGGTTCCAGCCTTGACCACCCCAGTGATGCTCCTCCATTTCTCTCTATCCTTGGCCATTCCTTTCCAAATGCCTACTCCACACACTAGCCATCTTTTTGAAGGTTGTCCTACTCTTCAAGTGCCATGAAATTTAGTAAAAGTTAACATTCTACAGGGATGGCTTTTGTTAGCCCTGAAGAGGTGTCCCAGCAATCTTACTTTTCTGGCTTTTCTCTCTCTGATGATATCAGGTTCACCAAATAACTGATAAAATTCATGTTGTACCCGATTCTCCATTTTCCATTCTCACAAGTTGGGCCATGTATTTACTCTAAAACCTTCCTTTCAAAGGTTGCAACGTTATCTTCGTTATGTCTATTAATGGCCCAGGTGTCACATCCATATAGCAGTACAGATCTTATTAAAGTTGTATATAGTTTGCTTTTAGTCTTTGTGCTGTTGTAATGTGATCCCTCCCATTATAGCATCTATCGGCCATCAGCAACTTATGGTTGATTTCAGTATCCAGATTATTATTATCAGAGATCATAGTTTGTAAATATTTGAATTCTGTTACTCTCTCAAATCTGTAGTTCCCAAAGTTCTGACTGCTAAAGTTTAACTGGGGTTAATATATTTAGAGAAAAATTTTCAACCCTACTTAATTGAAGTTAATAGGGAAGCTGTTGAAAGTGTATTGCTTCTAAAACAGTATTTATTGAAGATCAGACAAGAGTGATTCATGTGATCTTACTGTAAAAGAAAATAAGAATGCAGATTCACAGTTTAATGTTGCAAGATTTAACCAAATTTTAATGTATGAAGAATATTATACAGGTTTATTATCATGTTAATGGCTTGAATTACTTGTAATCCATATTGTCTATAGGATTTGATTATACCATGCAACAACTAATTAAGCATTTTATTGTTGGATTGCAACTTGCATAACTTTAATGTAACATAAACAACACAAGATATCTAGGACTTCTGTTTTCTGTCTTCTGTTTGATAGGAAAACTTTGCAGTTCTGCCCAGCAATTGTTTCTTGTTTTACCTTGATTTTATAGGAATTACTCTTAGAAGAACTTTCTTTTCAGTCACAACCTTTATATTTTTGAGATTTTAATGTTTTAAGTTTCAGATATATCTCTGTTTGTTTATCTTAGAATCATAGGTTTATACGTCGGCCTGGTCCTTCTGTTTTCTAAAGTCATCCGAAGCTTCATGACTGGTATGTTGGCGGAGATCATGTTTACAGAGTTGCCAAATGTGGATCGTATCCTGCAGGTAACTGTATTACAAAATATTTGCTACATAAATACATGTTCTGAGAAATTAATGTTGCCTTGTTAATTGTATTGTCAGAATCATCGGTATGTACACAACGATGGTTTTGATCGTCAGTAATATTGTGCGTGGGTACTTCACTGGAATCTTCAATACCATCATGTATGATGACATGCCCAATGTTGATCGGGTACTCCAGGTAAGGTTCACATTGATCTGTGAACAAGCACTGTACAGTTTAGCCAGCACTGTACAGCATGGTGACAACTCTTCATTCATGCAGCATGCCAAACAGTACAGCATGGCCAACATCATCTTCAGTGCAGCATGGCCAACAACTCTTCAGAAATATGTGTTTGTCTTGGCTGTTTTGGTTGAGTTATGTCTTGAATATACAACACTTCACCACCTATACCTTATGATTTCTTTATTTACAAGTTTTTTAAGATGTGTACAGACATCGACGCTTCAGGTCTACATAAATGTGCACAGCTGTGAATATGAATGATGTTTGAACTGTGAATATATTCATTACTTATGTAATCAGCTTGGAACCTTAAGTTATTTGGCTAATGGAAAATGAAAGAATCCTTCCAGAAGTAAGCTCTGCGGTCTGCTATGCATGCGATGGATATGCTAATATGAGGTCTTCATGTGTGCTTGTGAAACAACAGATGATGCAGAAGATCCTCTGGAAAATGCTACATGAATACACAAGACATAAAAGATCACAGAACATTTCAACACTGAACAACATAAGACTGTAAACTTGTGACTTTACAGCTGTAGTAATGCTTTGATATTTAACACAAGTGTACAAGAAATGTCTTAGAGTTATGTGTATTTACACATTATTTGCACAAAATGCATAAAGAGGAGATTGTGTCTGTGTGTCAAGTTTCATCTTGAAAACTAGTCTGTACAGTGTGCTGAAATTTTGTATTCTATCATCTACACTAAAAGTTGTGAATTTAATTGTGTTTTGTGTTAGTTTGATGCACTGTTACTTTTCAAGAAGCTCAAATAAATCTTGTAATTTTTCTCAAAAGCAGCTCACTGAATAGCATTTGATTCATGACATAAAGTATATTAAGATATATTATTTAAACTTTTTAATGGTCATAAAATATGTGCAATATGATTAGTTTCAAAACAGTAACTTTTCATCTACAGCAAATGATGATCAAGGAAAATTATGTGTGAATAATTGTGAAGAATACACTTAGGAAGTTTATGTACTCTTGTTTAAATATCAGGTAAACTTCCACTTTGTGTCTCAGTATTTGTACTGTTTATTTTTTTCAACTTCCAGTTTGTATTTAACACTTTCACTGTTATGGATAGAACACTTCTGTTACATGAAAGTATTCAGCCAAATACACAGTGTGTCACAACTTTTTTCTGAAAAAATAAATAGCAAAAAACGTTTAACTTTTGCAACATGAGATTCATCAAAACAGTGCTAAAAATTACAAAAACATAACACCACATTTCTGTTTCAAAGACTAGTTGGTTAGTGATGTTTAGGAAAGCAGTTGCTATTTATTTTTAGAATCAGTAAATGTGCTATGTGAGCAAGATGTCAAGTTATTGAACTCTAAAGCAAGTAGGACATAGTGCACTTTAAAAAATTAAAAAACTTTATAGGCTTATACATGCAATTGACAATTGAATGAATAATGGTTGACACACACCAACAGTGAAAGGGTTAACAGTCTCATTCTGATGACTGCATTGGCAGCAGAGGTATTCTTTTCAACTTTTCCCTTTGTCTTATTAGTGGTGAAAGTACACAAACCCATGACGTGTGTGGAGGTCTGTAAAGTATTTATTTCATTTTATGATTCTGCATAAGTTGCTAAAGTTATGTAGAGCGCATTTGTTGTGACAGAGCAAAATTTAAAATCTTTTAATGTTTCTCTCTCTCTCCTTTTTTTATCCCCCCCCCTCCCAGTATGTGACAAAATTTCTATCGTGGGACACTGTGTATCTTCAGATTTCACAAGAAGTCATTGGCCTCTGAAACATGTAGCCATTAGTCCTCCCAAGACAGTTGGTATAAAGAAATCTTCTGCTGTCATTTTAAGCTTTGTTTATTTGTGTTCAAAGTAGAATAGAACAGTATCACTCTGTTAAACTCTTGAATTATTTTGGGAAGTAGACCACACATTGGTGTTGGAGACAATAAATATTTATTATTAATTGTGATTTTTTGTTAGTCTATGAGATGATTTAAAATATATGAAACTGTTATTTTACTTGATGGTTTTGTGTGAGTATGAAATGTGGTCACTCACTGAGGGGAAACACAGATTGAAGGTGTTTAAGAACAAAATGTTGATCAGAATATTTTTAAAATTACATACTGAAGAGTGGTAGTGAAATATATACCTGAATAGGCACAAAATGTATTAATTTTTAGCACTCTTAAATAGCATTGGCTCACCAACATATACCATATTGGTCTGCTTTCCAAACAAAAGTATTTCTTCACATATGACTGGTGTACAGGTAGAGAATTAGTAGATAATGCTTTCTCCTTCTAAAACGTTATGTCTGTGAGCAAGTTTTAGACTGATCCCAGATTGTATATAATGTAACATCACATATGGATTATGGTAAAATTTCCATTGGTTCTTATATAGAAGCATTGTCAAAGATTCCTGACTTCAGATGTTTAGTCTTATCCAAAATTATCATTAACCTTTATTATCCATGTGTTGTGGCTTACATATGATTCAGCAGTCAATGTGTTCCACTAGTATACTGCTTAACCGTTACCCCAGAAGATAAATTCCAGTTGACAGCCCTATAAGTACAGGGGTTTAAATTCCCTATCCCTGTATAATGAAGGTTCAGAAATTTGCATTTTAATACTATAAAAACAGTAGACTTGTTTCAGTTTTGAACTGTCCTCCTTAATGCACAGCTCATGTTAAATGTATTTGAAAAAATTTGTTATGTGAATGAATATTTATTCACTCATTCATAATGCTAGAGTGCTTCTCTTCTGAACATGTGACTCAACATAATAACTAAGTTCAAAATATAGGTGAACCTTATTGTGAGGTCAGCAACAACTATGACTAGACTGAACTTATACATTCCAACTGTAGTAAACCTATCTAGCTAGCCTTGGCACAAATCATTTGCACCGTAGTTCTCACATCAGTGAAAATGTCAGTGTTGGTCTTCAACCCTGAAGATGGAGGCTGTATGATCCTCCAAAACACTGATGCCAATCTAAACTTCCACATAGTTGTACTACCTAGAAGACCAGCATCAACATATGTGCAGTGTGTTTTAAAGTAGAATATTTAGAGTATGGCTAGTTACATGAGTGGTCCATTGAGTGAATTTTGACAGAAGGATAAATTGGCAAAATGGTGCAGGTTCTTGTTTCCTAATCTGATGCATAATAGACTTGATGAAACAAATACTAAAAACACTCACATTTAGCATTATATGAACATGAGGCATTGTAGGTTTAAAAAATAATTAAGATTTGTTTTGTTACAGTTTTTTCTCTGGAATTGCAGTTTTTTTACAAAATTCTTAATACAAGACCAGTGTGCAAGTAATCTGATGATTGGGCTGCTATCCATGTTTCTGAACAAGTCTCTTCCTCTCCCCTCCCCTCTCTGTTTATAATTTTCTTATAGCTGATTTCCCAGTGTTTTAAAAGCCTCAGAAACTGAAATTATTATTGGTTCATGTGCCCTTTTTATATATATTTGGAATACACCTCTACTTACTTAGATTGCATATCTGCCAGACAATAGATATGCCTGCTACACATGACATGGTCCTATGACGAATGTCCGTATTTGTGATTGGGATACCAATTTTAAAACTTTTATACTTAGATATTTCAAATATTAAAATGAGGCAGGCTATAACACCTTTCATAATTACATTGTAAAAATGTCTTTTAAGTTTAAATATTAGGAAATATGTTTGGGGTTGGAACAAGCCAAATAAATAACGTAATCCATGATAGTGATTTCAATTTCTCTGTTAGAAATCCCCTTCACAAATTGTGCTTTTTGGGCTATTCTGGCTCCTAATATAATTCCAGTTTTAGAGATGATTGATGAATTAATTTTGTCACTTCAAAAAATAACTATGAAATTTTCTCATTTTAAAATGTGTAAATTGTGACTATAAAAACAGCATATCTTGTTTCTGCATCGCACCCATGGACATTCTGGGTTTTATAGATTGCAATTCATAAGTAGTCTATGAATATGAAATTTCTCCATTCTTAAGTATTCCAACCATTCAGGTGGCTGGAACTTGGCAATGCAATTAGCAGAACTGTGTCCCTTTGATCATCATAAGTAATCCCAATAAGTGTATCAGCAAATAAAAATATTCCTGTATTGAAATAAACCTTAATCCAAACACTCTTAGTAAGTGACAAGTGTGAGACAGGATGGCTGTTGAATGTCTTGTAAATAGCAAGTTGTATCTAGTGTTATAGGCTCTGTTCAAATCATGACAGTTCTTCTGGTTGATGCAATGCCACAAATATTTGAGAATTAAAATAACCTGTGCAGACTAAGTATAAAGGAAATTTTAAAGGTTCATTAATGAATTTTGCAGTGTTTGTGATGGATAGTGCTGTTAGAGTAAATGTAATTAGATGGCCGTGCACAAATTAGATGATAAATCACAAGATACTGCAAAGTTTCATTTTATTAAACCAGAAGATATCATGAAAATGTATATACTAATTAATGAAATCAGGCTTGATGGTAACTGGAAGTCTGCAACTCAGAACTACAAATTAAATCATGTAACTGTGCTGGAACTGGGGATAAATCTGTTAGTTGCTTTAGGAATGTGAATGAAATTATAATCATTACACTACTACTACTGCTACACAAGGTTGATGTAGAACAGGGAAAATGTTTGGCAGCTGTGCCTAGCCATGACCCTTCCACTATAGTTAAGTTGTGTTAGTACCAATCGTCATGTTGGTTGCTATTTTAACTACTCATTTAGATTCAACAGTGAGTGAAGATTATCCTGATGAATTAATGGTGTTGAGAAGGGGAAGTGTGAATATTCACTTGCGACTTAGTGCTGTCAAAAATCCCCGTTATATAGAAATGAATAAGGTTACACTTAAGCATCAGGTACTTTTATATAAATTTTATGTGAAGTTAATAAACTGGGCACCAAAACATCATGTATTAACAGAAGGAGAGTTGGATGATATCAGAGCTCATGTTGAGCATTCATCTCATAAGCTTCTTAATGACTTTCCACAAAAAATGGGAGTATGAAGGGTCTATGAGAATTGCTGCAAAATCATTCAAATTGTGGCCTTAAAAAACCAGTTGTGCATTATTTCCATCTATGTGATCAGTAGCCAGACTTACTTTTTGTTACCAGTATCTTTAGTCATCTTTTGCATTCGTCAGATACTAGAGAAAAATAGGAGTTCAGTTGGACTGTACATCAATTATTTATAGATTTCAAAAAAGCCTATGACTGTGTGAATAGAAAAGTGCTATATAATATTCTTATTGAATTTGGTATACCAAAGAAGCTAGTGAGTCTAATAAAAATGTGCTTAAATGAAACCTGAAGCAAAATTCATATAGGTAAAGATTTATCTGAGTCATTTTCTATCAAGAACAGTCTAAAACAAGGAGATACTTTGTCTCCCTTGCTCTTTAACTTTGTGCTAGATTATGCCATCAGCAAAGTCCAAGATAGGCAGGAGGGTTTGCAGTTGAATGGGACACATCAGCTATTGGCATATGCTCATGTTAATTTATTGGGGGACGATATAAATACAATAAAGACAAACACAAGTTTTACTAGAGGCTAGTATACAGATGGGGCTAGAAGTAAATTCAGAAAAAACTAAGTACATGTTAGTATCTCATCAGCAGACAGGCTGGCAGAATTATCTTAGGGTGGTTAATAAATCCTTTGAAAGTGTTACAAAGTTCAAATAACAAATAACAAATCAAAATGATACTCATGAGGAAGTTAGGAGGAGACTAAATTCTGGAAATTCTTGCTACTTCTCAGTTCAAAATATTTTGTCTTCCTGTCTGATTTCTAAGAACCTGAAAATTAAAGTATACAAAATAATTTTGCCTGTTGTTTTGTATGGGTGTGAAACATGGTCTCTCACTCTGAGGGAGGAACACAGATTGCAGGTGTTTGAGAATAGGGTGTTGAGGAGGATATTTAGGCCTAGGAGAGAAGACGATGGGGTATGGAGAAAACTGCATAATGACGAGCTTAAAAATTTATACTCCTCCCCCAGTATTGTCAGGGTGATTAAGTCAAGAAGAATGAGATGGGCGGGAATGTGGCATACATGGATGGGACAAGAGGTGTGCACCGAATATTGGTTGGGAAGCCTGAGGGGAAGAGACCACTAGGGAGACCTAGATATAGATGGGAGGATAATGTCAGGCAGGATCTATGGGAGATAGGAGTTAAAGGAGACTGGATTTTGTTGGCCCAGGACAGGGTCCAGTGGAGGGCATTGGTTAATTTGGTGATGAACCTTCGGGTTCGGTAAGCCATCTAGTTAGTTAGTTAGTATCGTTAGTCAGTGTTGATATTTAAAAACTAAAGTGTCTTAAACCAATCCATACATAGTTTAACTCGGATAAACCACTCATTTGGAATTGTTTGATATATCCAGAGAACAATTATACCATGTGAGTCATAATCTGTTTGGAGTTGTGGGAAAAGTATCCAAGTCAACTGGGAACATTTTCAGTATCCTATAATTTAGGAAGCAAATTTCACTCTGTGATCTTGCTGTAATCTTAGTATCACTGCAGCTGATCAGCTACCAAAGACAGTAGCCAGTGCAATGTTCACACTATCAGAGAGGTCAGGCTCCAGCATAGCTGCCAAATAATCTTCCTGTAGTGACACATCTGATTTGTATTCAGGAAGTACTAAGTTAACATATCAGTTGTGTTACTATCCTGACAAGTTTTCTGTGGCATTCCAAAGTTTCTGCAGCCTGAAGTCAGTTTAGTACCTTGAAAGAGGCCACAACTATCTCCTTCCAAATCGATATGTACCATTCAAAATAATTATCACACTTCTGCTTTGCTAAATAACTGGAAAACAGTTCAAGTAGTATCATTAAATAACTTAAGAATCAGTCATGTCTTAACTTCTTGTGTCCCTTTTGAGAGTAGAGTGAAATAAATTATTATTGTTTGTCATCCTGCAGTTTCACGTCTGTACGTCGTGTCTCGGTCTTTATTGGACCATCAACTTTGTTCAAAGCCTCCCCACAGATCTGTTCCTGTTGCTTTTAATTCTGTTGTATTTTGAAGCAATCTTATCTTCACCTGTTTCACATGTCTGAATCATTTGTTTACTTCTTAATTTTTGTAACTTGTTAATTTTTACTTTGCTCCTTAAGTGTCCACTGATCTGAGTTTATCTTCAGTTTCAGTGCTTGAATGTTCAATAGCTACCAACACGTTTTGAACTTGGCTTCATGCCACCTGTTTTGATTATGTCACTGATTAAAATTTACACACCAACTTCCCCAGTTACCATATAGCCAAAAGATTTTAAATAATTTTGAGATTGTGTTCAAATATGTCTTAAAAATACCTTCTTCTTTTACACTATGTTCTAGGATCTCTCCTTAAACACATGTTTATGCTGACAGATTTTGCTTGTTTCATGCATTAAATTATCACAAGGATTTGGCCAATATAATGGTCCCCTTTTTTTCTCTTTTTCATAAGATGCAAGTTATAATTCATATGAAAAATTTAGTATGAAGTTCCTTAGCATTATATTATTTATTACAATGAATTTAGTGTATATTGAATTTGTTTCTGTTATGTTTCAGAGTGGGAACACTCATAAATCATGTCCAGAATGGTAGTTAATGAATTTAAATATCTTTATTCTGTTCCACAGTATATTTTGTAGATATACCTTGTCTTAAAGTAGTCCTCATTAAGTTTTAAATATACTGAAGAAAATTGAGATTTCATGCTGATGAAAGTATGTATTGTCTTTATACTGAAAATTATATGCACATGGAAGTAAAAGTATATATTTAAACAAGTGGAATGTAGTAAAAACTTTCCACAGAAATTTTGTAATGTTTTTAAAATAAACTTTGTGTCTCTGTGCACATATGTGAGCAGACTGAAACATAATGGAAACAGTGTACCAGAATGAAGGTAAGGAACAATGGAACAGGATGAACTGCTAGAGGTTTTGGTAAATTTTATAAAATAATTCCAGAACCTTTTCTTGTGCATCAAATCTCATTGCCATTTATTTTAAACTATAAACTGACTTGTTGAAATGAGTATCTAGTTTTCTGACATTGTTTTTTTGCAACTCTTAACAGCTGTGCCTGGACATATACCTAGTGCGTGAAAGTGGAGAACTAGACTTGGAGGAAGATCTGTTTGCCAAATTGGTATTCCTGTACCGCTCACCAGAAACCCTCATAAAGTGGACACGGCCACGAGAAGAGGGTGAAGGAGAGGAGGGAAATGCACAGCCCATGATTGCCCAGTAGTTCAGCCTCATGGAGCCATATGTAACGCACACATCATATTCACGTGACTGACCTGTATTCAGACAAATAGCAACAGCAATTTGTTGCTTTGTGTGGCATCATTGCTGCATTAGCAAGGATCATAGTTTCAGTCTTGTATTGTGATTGTGTGTGCTGTATCTGAGATGGCCCATGACCTGTAGTAAGTGATTGCATTCATTTGACACTGCTGTAATGCCGGCTGGTGGTTATGGATGCAACTGAAGAGACCTCTGGTAGTGATCCACAATCTGGTGATCAAGGTATCACTGCAATCAGTTGGTTAAGGTTTTCATTGCAATCTGCACGGAAATAAGTTGCTGTACTTTGAAGTAACTTTAAGTGTGAATCAGGTTTGCAGTGTTTTTTTTTTTCTTTTTACCCTCTTTTCAGTGTTTTTAGTTGTCTGGTTTATTGTATTTTCATACTGTGATATGCTGTTACAAAAATTATTTTTGCACATCATTAAGGTTGTAATATTATATGTATTTTTGTTTGCATGCAGTTCCAATTTTTGTTGTTTGAAAAGGTCATGTACTTGTTGACATCATTATTTATGAAAGTACTGGTAACATGAAGGCAATAGCTGTCATGGTTTCCAAGCATTTGAATTTTTAACTTTCAGTTTGCAATGCTTTAAGCACTTTCCTTGAAAATAATTCTATCAATTTAACATTAGTCATCCTAATCCAAAGAATAATAGTTACATGAATAAAATTAAAAGAAAAGCAAGGATTTAAATGAGAAATAATGGGGGAGGGGGTAATATAGCAGTACAGGGCTCCAGAAATACAGCTTAAAATGTGTTTGCCTGTAGTTTCACAGTATGCTTCATATGAGTATTTTTGTAGGAGGTATTTACAAAACACTAAATGTTGAGAATAGGGAATGAATGTAATATAGTCTGTAGTATGCTCTCTACACCTTAAATGTGATGATAAATAAATAATTTTATTGCAGCACTAAATAGGTTATATTTATTTTTGACCATATCTGTACATATAAATGAATTTCATTGTTAAAATAATGGACAGTTTAACATATGGCTGGAATATCTGAGAGTAGTTTGGAGATTAATGAAACAAAATCTAATGGGGTGTATTTTTTTAAATACCAGATAGTATTGTTACTATTGGTCATACATGTTGGAAGGCTAAGAGGAATGAATGTATATGATTCTGTGATTTATTTTGGTGAAATGTAACCAAACTATTATATTTTTTTATAAAGAATTGTGAAATGTGTATTCTAAACTGCAATTCTCTGATCATTCATTGCCCTCTACTAAATAATCTAAAGCAAGTACAGCAAATTGGGAAGCTACAGACTAAGTTGACAGTTAATTTGCTATAACAGATAAGTGAGCATATTTCTGTAGCCCTCCTGTGATGCATTAATTATTAAGAGTATTGGAATGAAATAAGATGTCATTTGGCCCAAAAGCACAGATATTAAGTTCTTAAGCTTGGATATAAGATAGCTATCACCATTTTCTTTAATTTTTAGTATTATTTAAATATGTTTGAGTGTTTTGGGTCATTACACACTATGACATAGTGCTTTTAGCTTTGGAAGAACTTCATCTCCATCATCTTGGTATAAACGAAAACAGGTGGCTTGAATAGATATGTATTAAGGTAAAAACGTAAAGTAGTATTTTAAGCAGGCTCTTAATGAGTCTTAAGGCAAACTGGAGAGGGCACTTCCATTGGGTATCCTTTGCTTATATTTATATTTTGTACATCTAGCTTTCCACTTCCTTGTGAACATGGAAGCAGCAAGTTTCTTCAAAAAAAATATTTTTTTTAAACAACAGGGCTGTGTACCCCAGAATACTCATAAATACATTTAAAAAGCTTAAAATAATGAACATTATATTCTAAGGCAAGTTTCTGGAAAATCTGTTTTAAAAATGGAAAAAATATAATTGTATGAAGAATGTAACAAAACCTGTCATGAAGCACAATTTTAGTTGCTCAGCCTTTTAATAAATGGTGATGCAAATACTGGCTATAACCTTAATAGCACAGATAAGAAGGTTGCTCCTCAGTGCCTTAGACTTAGTGCATATTACATTTATTTGGAGCAGTGTGTTCACTGTGTTGTGACTCAGGGTTTGTTGGTTCATTACAGCTCTTTCTTCCAGGTTTCTTTATTTTAAAAATGTCTTCTTCCATACCATTCAGAATTTTCTCTTTCCGTTCCCTCCGGTGGTACAACATTCAGACCAGCTCTGAGACCCATCAGCCTCTTTTCCAATATTGAAAGCACATTCCTTGGGATAAAGTAACCAGAGTGACCACTCCCCTCGATCTAGTGTGTAGAGTTTATTTTGAGCTTTACTTCCATATCCCTTCATTGTGTGATTCTTGCACACAAAGACAATACATATAAGAATACCTTCAGTTTCTGATAACTGTTCTTACAATGTTCTCACAGTGGCCAAAGAAAATCTATAAGACAATGTATTAACATAATACTTGTTAATTCTAGTCTCCACCTGCAGTTCATTGTCATTTTTTCTTAGTTTCAGTACTTTTGAATAAATACAGTACCCTTGCTTCAACTAATAAAATTGAAGACTTGCAATTTTTTTTATGACTTCCTCCATGCATTTGAAGTATCAATTGCTGTTATGAAGGTTTTTCAGAACCAAGTGTTGCAGTGGATTCATGTACAGATCACGAAAATGCCAAGCTGAAAGGTGATACCATAGAATCACTGGTTACAAATAATAAGTTTGAGACACTTTTATTAGAAATTTGCAAAAGGACAGAAAGATGTCATTAATAGCTTGAATAATGTCTTAGTTTGTCTAGTATCTGTAATTAATACAATGTCATTGTTCAGTCTTGGCACTTCTGCCATGTGTGGCAGTTTGAACGCAATAACATTAACTGTTGCCACATATCAAACTTAGAAGCTCTCATGAAATCTAAAAAATGTTAACACACAGTAGTTTCAGAACTAGACATGAGACATTTCTTAAATTACCATAATGGGCTGTGGCATGATTGCAGGAAATGGTGAATATTTAATTCAAAATTTCTATATCTATAACTTCTATAAAGCATGTGAGATGACAGTCTTTTAACTAAAAACTAGACATTTCCTGAATTTATTATTCTCTTCATTTAATCAAGAACTGCATCTCCGTTTGTTAAACAGGTTAATGACATGTAAGTCTCGTACATTAATATTGTTCAATGCTCTATCTTTATTCAAAAGTAGTACATAAACTTTTACAGAATATTACCAAGAATATGTATAAAAATTCAGTTTTAAGGCTCTGATAGAAATATTCAAGAATAAAACATGAAAAAATATAAGACAGTAAAACTCCATACTACAGCAAGAGCTTGCAGAGAATTAATAAAAGAACTTTTACATGTTAATATTATCCTTACAGAAAGAAAGAAAAACACACCAACCACACCTAATTCCTCAGTTCCTTTTTATGGATAAGCTGTTTCAAAATTTTTGACTTCTTATCAGTCCTCTCTGTACAAAGAAGGGACAATTCCTGAGATGTGGTATTTTACTGACTGGAAGATCTATTGAAGAAATAATGGGATCCTATTGTAGAAAATTAAACCAGCTGAGGAGACCAGAGCAATGCCCACCAACCGATCATATTGTTCCATCTACGCAGTCTCTTTCCACATTTTCAGAACAAAATTTTGGGTGCATTTCTTGATATAACATTCCTAACAGAACCAGGTGATGACTCCTAGAATGTTTAATTACAAAGGGAATGTAAAGGTTTACCTCCATCTTCACCTCTGTGGGCAACTTAATTAGGTAAAATGTCTTATTTCTTGCCAAAATTTATTAACATACAAGATATATTCTTTAACCTTTATCTTACTAGTGGTCTCTGTCTGGGAAGTAAGTTGTGTACTCAGCCCTAAACTTGCAACATTGTAAGTAGACTTGGCTACTTTTAGGGGCTGCAAATATTGAATCACTTTCTCTAGGGTTTTTACAAGGCCAGCCTGAGCTGTCAACCTGGAAACTATAAACATTGTTATTGTCAAGAGGGTTTCTTCATTTTCAGGCCCCTAATCAAAGCTTCTCACATTCCTCGGCATGATCTGTGAAAAGAATGTATATCCACTGAAGTAGGGGAGACAAATTTTTCTGTGTGGTCATTAGTTCACAACCATGGCTTCTACCATGTCAAATGAGCTTCAAAAGAACAAAGTAAAGTAACTCAGGCCTATTTATTCAATTAAGATATTAACTGCATTTTTAAAGAACTCTTATGTTTTCTCTGTTCTATTCGAATAAATATGGCTTTTATTTTGTTAATTTATCATGTTTACTTTAGATAATAAAGTTTTCCATAGAGCGTGCACAAAATTTTAAAAACCTTCAAAGAAACTCCGTAGGGCTGCTACCACCATGCCATTTAAATCCCCGTTGTTTAAAGGTTAACTATATTTGTTACAAACTGCAATATATAATAATGGATTTTGTTGGCCCTGGACAGGGTCCAGTGGAGGGCTTTGGTTAATTCGGTAATGAACCTTCCGGGTCCGTAAGCATCTACTTTGTTAGTTAGCATTATATAACGTTTATTATGTGGGTGGTTTTGGCATTTTCAACACTCCAATCTTGCGTAAGTAGCGCACAATAACAGGTGCAGCTGCCAGAGTAATGCCGATTCTCACTGGAGCCAATATCTTGTGGAAAGCGTAGGCAACAACAAAATTACTGGCTTCTGCTGCTACTTCTCCTCCTCCTATATTTGACACAAGTCCAGCCAAATCTACACCACTGCAACAAATGATATGTAATACTTTAGAACAAAGGCACGAGCATAATTAGGAACAGATCTCATTAATATATGAGTTACAGATCCCTATAAATTCATAACAGAATCACAATCCCTCATTTGTCAATGGTGGATCTCATTCATAGAGAAAAACAATGCAACTGGTTAATAATTACCTTAAGAAATATATAAAGGTTACTTCAAAAGTCATGGCAACTAATTTTTGGGGGGCAAACACGTTATATTGAAGAAAGTTCAAAATATACATGTGAAAGAGCACAATATACTCCTCCGATTAGCGTAGTCAGATCAAGCAGGTGTGAATGGGTGTAGGTATAGTAGACAATAAAAAAGGCACATTACGGAATGACTGTTTTTTCTTTTATTCTTTAATCCTCAAAAAATTCAATTGTGATTTAAAAAAATCAATGTGAGTTAAATCAGAATTCTCACATTAATACTAGGAACCTTCAAAGTAGTCTCCAAGTGTATCAAGCACTCGCTGCCAACGATGAGGAAGATGGCGAATACCATCAGCTTCACCATCTCACGCCAAACTGTCTTCTTCGTCGTTGGCAGCGAGTATTTGATACACTCAGAGACTACTTTGAAGGTTGCTAGTCTTAATGTAAGAATTCTGATTTAACTCACATTGAATTTTTCGAGGATTAAAGAATGAAAAAAAAAGATAATTCTGTAATGTGCCTTTTTTCCTGCGTACTATACCTACACCCATCCACACCTACCTGATCTGACTACGCCAATCAGATGAGTATATCGTGCCCTTTCATATGTATATTTTGAACTTTCTTCAGTATAACATGTTTGCCCCCAAAAAATTAGTTGCCATGACTTTTGAAGTAACCCTCGTATTGTAAAACCATGCTTCTCGAAACTTCATTTAATTTTGTTATAACAATTTAACAAGAACAATCCACTCTATACTTATCAGTTCAGATCCATTTAATACCTTAAGTTTTAAACAAAAGCATATTTTCCTTAAAATTATATGACAATTTTAAATGAACATTAGGTTCTGCAAGGGACTTCCAGCATGATCACTTTGATTTAAAAAAAGTTTAAAGCAATTAAAGTAACATGGGTATCTCATTTGGAAAAGTGACTAGGTGAATGGTGGGTTTTATTCTTGGCAAGGACAGAAATTTTTCTTGTTAGCATTCCAGCTCTAGGCCTCCTAACCAATGAATACTAATGGCTCTTACTTCAGGGATAAAGCAACCAGCTGAGCTGACCAGATCTAGTGCCAAAGATTAAGACAGTGTGCTCACTCCCCATATAACTTTATGGTTTGGTGACTAATTAAACAGGAGGGACAACTTTATTTGGGTAGTATTGTAAAGATTCATTCATATATCACAAAAGAACTTTTCAGTTTAGCTCCTACCATTAATAAACTGATAATATATTTTCTAATACATACCTAGTCACTGCCAAGTAGAATCCACCTAGAGATAATAATGAAATACCAATATGGAAAATAACCACTGTCAGTCCATACTCTTTGAATGCACGTTTCAGCTTATCTTTACGTGACAATTTACTATCACCTGTGTTAGTGCTAAAAAGAGAGTTAGTTTGCATAAAAAATGACATGCCACGGCCCATAGTTTGAGATGGTGGTCGTTTCATAAAGATAACTGGAGCTGCTTGCAAGCAGTTCTCCATGCAATAAGATTTTGTCGTCAATTTCTTACAACCCAAAGTACCTGGATCATCACCTCCATCTTTTGATGCTGATTTCTGTATCAAATTCTGATAATGAGTGTTATGCATGTCTCTAGAGATGTACTTGTGACCTTGGCCCCACTGCCCGCCTGGCATGTTCAGGTATGTAGAGTGACCTTCCTTTGAGAATGGCTCTGGTACCATGGTCTGCATCACAGAGCTTAGGCTCACTGTGCCACTGCAGTCATAGCTTGCCACATGCAAGTCTAATGGATATGACTGCTGATTGTAGTTTCTTGCACAACCGTTCAAAAAATTTCCAACTGTTTTTGATAAGATGACTGGACCGGAGATGTCTCTTACTCGCTGTGGGGAGAAACAGGCCATCTCAGCAGCATTTATCTCCACCACATTTTGAGGTAATGGAAGAGGCTCTGCAGTGGGATACTGCTTTTTGGCAGAAATGTGCAGATCCTGCGACTGCTGGAATATGCCTCTTGAAAGTTTCTGTTGCTCACCTTTAAGAAAAGACAATTTATAATCCATTCACATAATAAACAAGAAGGTAATATTCTTATGATTTTCCTGTCTGTGATTACTGATTTATTTCAACATAACTTCCCAACTTCCATGATTTTACATTCTGAAACAAGATGTTTCTGAATGTGAATTGGAAAGGAAGGAAGGAAATAAGAAAACCACAAAAAATCTGTCAGAATTCCCAGTCTTATGGCCTGAGACTCAAAATGTGATGTAGAGGAGACAGCCAATACATTGCAACATTCGATTTTGATTTATGGAGTGTGCCAACAATCATTTACCTAGTATTGTCAGGCAATTATACCAAGGAATTTATGAACTTTCATGTTTGCAAGACATAAAAAGTAGGGGAGGAACATAGCTCCTACTCATTCTTAACCTTGATACTAGGTGGGGGTGAGTGGTTAGCAACACCCTCTGGCCACACTTTACCCCTTGGAAAGGACCATTGGAGAGGAGGCTCAGTGGGCCCCAGAGGTTAGAGGAAAAATCCTCTGCCACCAGCGGAGATCGAAACCCAGTCGTCCAGTCCATTGTCAGTCCCTCTGACTGGGCTACCTTGCAAGACATAAAAAACTACACCTTCAGTAACATGCTATTAAGATTTCCATCTTCTGGGTTGTTGCGCTGTGGCTATTACTGTGTGATCTCTTGCTACATCTCCCCCCTTTCCTCTTTATGGCATTAGCCCTGGAAACCAGACGACCTTGATAAACTACATTTGGGCACAAAAAAGGCATACCAGTCATATGTAATTTAAACAATTTTACACAACATTAATATAACATATTCTTACCCGAAAACTTTCCTGCAGAACTGTTAACAAACACTCTGCAACACAATGACGGGCAACACTTCCTAGAATGTCTCAACAGTTGTCTTCTGCCAACACTAAACTGTAACTGCATTGCCATCATTCACTTTACTTGATGAAAAGTTTTAAAAAACATAAAACCGTACTCAATGAGTTTATCTATTTGGCATTGCTATTATGACGTTATATCATGAATTATTCACATTCAGGAAGGTGTAATCTATACCTCCAGGCGGCTATTGTAAATTGACACGTCGGCTACAACCAAGGTGTTATTTCTGACAGTGCTACATGTACAAACTGTGAAGAGATAACAAAACGGTCTGCGCCAATGAATATGTGTGGCGTGAATCATAATTCCTTCTAATTTTTATTTCTGCGTTCTCTGGCCTAGCCTCTAGTTTCAGTTTATATTGTAATAATCATTCTTCTTTCGGCCGGAAAGGACAAAATTGGTACAAGAAATTGATGACAGAACCAAACTTGACTAACGTCTACCGTGAAGAAGGTCCCTCCGAAATGTTGATCATCACGTAGAAGCCTACACTATGTTCGCTGACCTGTTTCTCACAACCCTTGTAACTTTGAAATGAAACTATGCATGGATTGTAGTGGTCGTGTATATACAGTTCTGCAAACACAAGAAAAATTATTTTTGTTGCAGGAGATTCTGAAAGAAATGTTTGGTTACGCCAACAACATACGCGTTTTCCTCTGAATAAACTCCATTTCATCTTCGAGGTATTGTAACTGCAGTGTTACTATACAAAATTATAACAGCACAGAATAGGGCCCGAGCATGGTCGTCCGTCCTGATAGTTAACTATGATCGTGTCTGTTTTTGCGATTTCGACGTAAGGGCGAGCTGCTATTGTAGAGTTTAGTAACGTAGTTGTTTTGAGTGTGTGTAAATAATCCGCAGTTAAAATTATTTGTTAGAAAGTAAATTTCGTACATAATTTTTTATCTGCTTAACGACAAAGCTTCCAATATTAAGACCCTTGAGAAATTATTAAAGATCACCAAGTGTCCGATTTGTCACCATATACAAAATTTTAACAATTTTGTGTTTGCTGGTTGTGCATGATACACCTGTAGGATTAAAAGGAATTTCAACATTCCGGTTTTCTTGCCCGGTTACCAGCTATAAAGACAGTCTTGCTTGGTGCACCACTTTTGTGTATTGAGTTAAGCTGTAAATGTTGGAAGCAGAGATGTCTTAATCCCTCACTGTTTAATTCTAAAGCAATACTACAATGTTCTTCTGTACTGTAAGTTGTACAACAAAAGTGCTATGCTTATAGGTGAAAACGAAAGGAAATTAATTTTAGAAAAATTGTCATGATGGAGCAATTACTTTCTACCTGTTACAGTCATTAAAGTAATTTAACTGTACATTATAAACATATTTTGAAGTTGGTCAGTGAATCACAAGGTAATTTATTGTGGCTATAAGTTTTATCACCCATTTTTATCATTACATTGAATTAGATATTGTGTGAATAGATAGTTATGCAGATTTTATTTAAACAGATATAAAATATGGTCTAGTTGTAGTTACTGTAGTGAACCTTGGTTCTGCAACAATGCCACAAATTTGGTAGTTGCACTGATTGTTTCTTGTAATTGGACACCCCTGTTTTAATCGATATTCCCAAGCAGGCTTTTGTTCTGGTATATGTAAGGTTAGCATAGACCCATTTTAATGAATCTTATAATTCAAATGTAATATTCAATTACTGGGTGTAACAAAGTATAACCCACCCAAAACCCTCAAATTTGTTAAATACAGCTATTCTCCTGACCAAAAGCCATTCAGATTTTCTTATAATATATAGTGACATTGATCTCTGGTGTGTCATGGTTTAAGAACCATAAAAGCCACAAGATGTGCATTGTATTTTTCTCTTATTTGGTGCTCTGAAACTTTGTCTTTAGTTTACTATTTTACAGTTTGCTGGTGGTGCATTTTACCCCTTATTGTGCTGAAGTCGGCCTGAAAGTGTTAACACCATTTTTATTAACTGAATAAACATTCTGTAGCTTTTAACAGTTTCATTAGAAGTCCTGAATCTTAAGGACGGAGACGTAAAACCTGTTTGCATTTATGCTGGAGATCTACAGAAAACTACAAAAGCCAGTCTGTTTAAATTTATTTTCTCAAATTCCATTTTATATGCTAGAAATTAAACGAAGGCCCAAGAAGCTTCCACCTCTCCCAAACTGTGTTTAAGGTGAGTAGAAAATTCTGATTTGGATACACAAATAAATGTGTTTATTTCTGCATGTAAAGTAAAATAAGGTACTTGTTGGTTATCGGGACACAAAATGGGAGAGTCGAATATCTGGACTTGGATTGGACGGATTCATATTTATCTGAGTTCATGTGGCAGCGTACAAATGATAACAGCGATATTTTTAAAACAATTCTGAAATCTATAAGCGAATTTTGGCCTCTGGAGACAGGTTGTAACAACAATTAACATCTCATGCATATCCAAATAAAATATAATAATTTGTAATTCATTGAAATAAATTATAATAACTTTCAAGTATATGTCATTTATCCACACACATCAACCTAACCTAACCTATTTTTAAAGCAAAGTGTCCCGATAACCCACAAGTACCTAAAATAATATAATTACAGGGATATTTTTTTATTTTAAAATTAGCTTTATAATATGAAACCCTGACTGTATACCTGGCAACAAAACAAATAATCTGGGCTTAATACTTTAGCCATTGGCACATAATTTGAAGATTGCTGTCTTCTGGGTTATTGCACTGTGCAAGTACACGGCACAATAACCCTAGAAGACAGCAATCTTCAGACTGACCACTGTGAAAACCTCAAATCCGGCACATAATTTCATTGGAACTACATAAGATTCAAACACCATTATTATTAATACCTGCCAGTCACTATTGCTTTTATTATTGTAAATTATCAGTATGTAAATTACATCCTACAGAGATCCATCCATATAGGTATTAGTGAAGGGTGTGTTGGTAACATAAACTACTTTAATGTGCTATATCAACTTTTGATGCATATTTAGCACATGGTGGCAATTACTGTTTTAATTTATTGTTTTTTTATTTTATTTTATATTTTTTAATCAGCAAATGTGTCATGTAAAAGGCACACAGTTGAATTTAACCTTTTTATATACCACCTGATGATGTGTGTTGCTGACTGAAACATGTAGTGGTGAAGTAAGACACTATTAAGGAACAAGAGTTGTGTAGACAGAAAAACACCAAATTGTTGTAGTATGTTGCATAACAGAATGCGTAAAATAAAGAGAATGAAAGGACAGTTTTTGGATTGAATATTAATATAATACAAATATTATTTGTGGTAATTCCCATTTATGTGGTCTAATGAATTGGGAGAAGATGCACAAACAAAACAAATAATCCAAAATATTTTGTTCAGTGCATTCACAGAAATTTACATATTGCTTTACTTTTTTTATTTTTTACACAACTGACATTTGTTTTGAGAAACTGCTTGTAATGGTCGTTTTGCTTCTTTTTGTGAACTGTTTAGATTCAAAGCAGTATTAATTTTCCTAGCAGCTGTAATGCCATTATATATTTCAACCCTTTCTCACCCATGTAGTCTAGTAAAGTGTCATCACACTGTAGTGCCATGCTGTGACATACTTTCTCTACTTTCTCATTCCTCTTCATGCTTATCCTCCCCTCTCTTCTTCTCCATTTTGTTTCACAGCAGCATTGACAGTGTCTGTCTGTCAAGTGCTGGAAGCCCAGTTCACATGCATCACTGTTTTTGTCATTATTGATCATTATGTTCATTCCATAGCACACACTATGTTAAGAATTTTGGACTTGCTGATTTCTTCATTTGGAAAACCTTTAAAATCATCATCATCTAGATCTGGAACAAACTTTCTCCATGATCAAAACACCATTACTGGATTCACAGAAGACCATGCCTGAGATATGCCATATTTATAGCATCAACAATCCTATTTTATTGTTGTCTTCATCAGCAAGAGTTGTGAGAAGCTCAGCCTTGTAGCTTTATCTCATGGACTCAATCAGCCTGTATCTCATAATCTTTGGCATATTTTGTCGCTGATTATCCGTTCTCAACTTCATTTTAACTCGGCCTTTTGTTTTACTGTCTACCATGTTTTTATGTTTTTGTGATACTTTACTTCTGACCCACAAATGTTAACTATCACTTTTCACCTGATGCAAATACAACAAAATGAAATTGACTGCAAGACACTAATCTATCCTATTATAAAAATTTGTGATTCCTCGTTGTCGTCAATAAATTACGTCATCAACAATGTCAACAGATATTTGTTTACTCGGCATTGTTGTGGAACACAACAATGCCGAGTACAACACAACAATGCAGAGCAAACAAATAACGCTTCACAACAAAGAAATCAAAAAATATCAAGCCAGTCGTATTATCACTGCTCCAGAAGCAGCACATCGCATTCTTGAATATTTACTGACAGTTGGCCTAAAACAACAGAAAAGTGAAAGAAGAAGTTATCAATTATTTGAAGTACCAACTCTAACAACTCCTGCAAGGTAAACTGATACTCATTCGATATATTACGATTACGAAA